ACGATCCTACAAAAAGTGAAAGACATTGTTTGCTTAAGTATTATAATAAATAACTAATCAAAATATGCATATATGTTTGTACAGTCTCGATTGGCAGAGCGAGCGATTGGCATCCCAAAGTTGTCAAATTTTACGTTTTATTTTCTTTTCTTGAGATTTAATAAAGAAAAGAAGAAGAAGAAGAAGAAGAAATTAGTTAAATAGAAAATCAATAGAAAAGAATTGTTTTTGTTGTTGTTGTTGTAATATTATCATTTAGTCGTGTATCTACTATTTGAATGAATGAATGAATGAATAATCTCATGCCTTCCTCGCTCAGCCTTTCCATTATGAGAGCAATAGAAATGACCAGCTTGGTTGTCATGTACATCTCATAAGTTTTGAAGTGGACAAGACCAGTAGTTGTAAGATTCCAAGCCTTGATGTTTTGATCCCAACTACAGCTATAGACCATGTTATCTATCGCTGTTAAATCCCATATCCATCCGTTATGTGCCAAATCAATACAAGTATATCTCACATGATCGTTTTCTTCAACGGGAAGGCTCCAACATGCCAAAGAACGATCTCTTGCTCCAGATATACAAATTTTTCCTTTCTTCACAAAAAAAAAAAAAAGAAAACAACAATATCATATTATTATTCATCATTTGTGTTATATTATTATATTATATTATTTATTAATTACTCACGTGCATTAACAGAAGGCCATCTATAGTACTGTATTGTACATTTGTAAGGGACAACTTTTCCATCGAATTTTCATTTTTCCATAATGAAGTTTGTTTCTCAATGGCTACGCATGACAATTTCCAAAAAAGTTCATCGTCCTCAGCTGAAACGAACAGGTCACTTTGACAAACAGTATATAATATTAACTTTTAACAATTTGGCACAAATATATATATATTTATTTATCTGTAAACAGAATCGAAGAATTGAGAATAAACTTTGAATATTTATAAATAGTGCTTTTTGTAAGAAAGTAATTTTTGTTGTTTTCATTTTTTAAATGTGCGTAGATATACAAAGATTATTTGGTTAATTAAAGTTGCATCAAACGAAGACAATTGACAATAATATTAGAAAGCAACCTGTTAATAATTGTGAAATTAGTTTTATCAAGCATAAAAGATTATTCTTCTTTTTTTTTTCTTGTTGTTGTTTTGTTTTTTTTACTTAAAAGTCTGACAAAACAAGTCGACACTGTTAATAATGTTTTTTTTTCTTTTTTCTTTTTTTTTTTTTTAACTTTGTAGAGTAAATAGATGGTGTTTATATTTATTTACAGAATTGATTTTGGTCGTGCAAGGCACAAGGTGCTATCAATTTGAGCTAACCAGGAGGCAATATCGGATAGCCAGTATTTTGCAATATTTGGTTAATTCGCATTTTCCAGAACAAATCGTCGTTCAGTACTTCGTAAAATTGTTTACAAACTAAACTCAAACTGTGCATCAATGTTTCCGCATCTAGGAATGAGCAGATGTGAAGAAATATCTAAAAACAAAAAACAAAAAATGTAAGAGAAAAAATAACAAAAGAATAAGAGAAAAATACGTCAAGAAAAAAAAAAAATCATTCAATCTAATTTACACACACACATACGCAGAGTACTATAAAAGTATAATAAATAAAATTGTTTAATCAAACCTCGATTGGAAGATCCAACAATGACATGAACTCTTCTTCTTTGTCAAATTGATGATCATTTTCGTTTTGTTCAACGTTTGCTTCTTCATCACACATTTTAAATGTTAAAATATAAATATGAGTCGTTGATCCTTTTTTTTAGTTTTTTTATCAAAAATATTTTACAACAACATATTATCGTACCCTGACGAATATTTTGTGTGGATAATATAATTAAATATTATAAAGAATAAAATAGAAATAAAGTATACACTCAAGTAGTAGTCCCTTTAACAGAAGTATTATTGTTGTTCCCTTTTATATATCTCTTTATCTTTACCTTGTATAGGTGTGCGCATGACTCATTCAGTACTACTCATTGTACCATTGGTACCACTTACTTTCTTCTAAATTTGTGAAAGTCAATGCATGCAGTGCTGCCAACTTAAAAAAAAACATTTCAATAACAAATATAACGTGTAGTTTTTTTTTTTTTAATGCTCATAAGTAAGGAGTAACATTTCTGTATATATGAAAAGTGTCCGTCGAAATTGAACCAATTGAGGTGGCGCCACAATAGCATCATGGTAAATTTCAAAAGAAGCGCCAAATATTATTACAGTAGGATTGAGAAATAAACAATTACAATACATTTACAATTGCTACATTCATACCATACCAAGTGTCTACACCAGCGCCATTCTGGAAAGTTTTTGAACTGTTATTGACGGAAAACGTTGGGCACTTTTTCCCTCCATACTCATAAGGAAAATAATACAATTTTATTTTTCATCTACAATTATGCATTTTTTCTTTTTTGCTAATTATTTTATTTTCAATAAAATTGTATCTATATAAATATAAATAACAATAGGCGCAATATTAAATAATTGATAAAAAAAAAACAATACAAATTATAATATTGTTGTTGTAAAATTATATTTCAAAGAGACAATCATTTTAAATGAAATTAACAATACGATATATATATACACAGTATAATCTCACTAATCCGGCACTTTAATAGACCGATACGTCCAATAATCCGGCACCCCCTCCGTCCGCGCCACCCTCGCCACTCTACGCCTATGCGCTCCGTTGTCTAGCAATCTAACCTCAAAATTTATTACGATTTTTATCTCTATAATCCAGTAATCCAAACATTCCAATAATCCGGCACCCTCTGATTATTATAGTGCTGGATTAGTGAGATTGTACTGTATATGTATTTCTAATCCCTGTAAATGTTAACCTAAAAAATTTGACAAACGTTATATCTTTCTAAACATCAAATTAACTAAAGCGTTCTAAACATTGAATTATTTTTAATTAGTTGATTACAATTCATTTTTCTAAGACCTATATATATAATATACATCATTAAAATATGTGTCTTTTTTTAATACATTAAAAATATATATAAATATTTTATTTATTTAATATTTGTATTGTCTCTATCTTTTTTCTAACTTTAAATATTATCTACAAAAAAAAAAAAAAAGAAAATGTAAAAATGATAAATAATTTGATAATCTAAGAATAAAATCTATTTATTTATTTATTTATTTATTATTTTTTTGTTGGTCTTTCTTTTTATGCTTGAAAAAAATCTGTAAAATTGATCAAAGTAAAAGAAATAATTGCACCACTTGCAGAACCTGCCTGCATGATAATGCCAACATAAAAGAGAATATTAACATTTTGCATTTGTCTAAATATTGTAACAATAACAAGTTTTGTATAAGAAATAATACCTATCAAAATAGTCCACGATATTAATATAATGATTATACCAATTTTGGATTCTAGCAGTGGCACAAAAGGTGACATCAATGCTACGTAAGTAACACAAATACAAAATATAAATGTTATTACGAATAAAGAATGAATAATATTTACATTTGTTGGCATAATAAAAAATGTAATGAAACATGCTATTGGATTAGCAAATTGTACTAAAGTAATAGACAATTGATATGTTATATATCCATATGGTAAACAAGAGTACGATTGTATGCTAGGTAAAAATCCATTACCAAAGAAACAAAGAGTACTCATTAAAATAAGTAAATATGCCTTTTTACAGAGAGACATTTTATAATGCATATTAAGACACTTTGATTCTTTTCTTACGTCATGATGTTTGACAACCATCGTTAATTCGTTCTTTAAAAATGACTTATCAAAAATGGAAATAGGCTTATTTTTAACATTGTAACGTATAGCTTGTATTTTATCCAAACTACTCTCATTCTGTTTAAAATTGTCTTGAATATCTTGAACAAATGAGAAATATTGTAATATAACAAATGCAATAAGAGATAAGAGTAATACTATAAAGATAAATACAAAATAATATAACGGAGTAAAGTTTATATTAGGAATAACAATATCTATCGACGTGATGTTGTTGTTATTATTATTACTATTATTTATAACATAATATTCTGTATTGTCACCGATATTTTGTATCAATGCTACTAAACTAGGTAATACGCCGCTTAATCCTTCTCCAATGAAATATGATATCATATAAGATTCATCAAAGTTACGAAGATAAGGCATAAATAGGACAGAACTGAAACACCCAACAAGTGCAGTGAAAAATGTTAAAATAAATAAAACCAAACTATACTCCGAATTATAAAGAATGATAGTTTTGTTATAAAAAAATATTAAAAGTATCATAGAAATATTTCCTACAATAAGTACACCTAATATACAAACAAATTCATTAACTTTAAATTGCATTTGTTGAAAAAGCATATATATTATTGGTCCCAAGTTAGCCATTTGTATCGCTATTACTATATAAGTTGGTAATGCTGAACCTTCGGGAGAATTATGAATGAGTATTGGCAATTGTACAAAGATTCCATTAACACCTATCCAAGCAGATATGCCAAACAGCACGACCAATAAATGTTGTACAATGCCATGTCTATTTTTTAAATATCCTTTCCGATTAAATGTTGTCATTTTTTGTATTTGAATTGCAGTTATTAAAGCTTTCTTAGCGACGTATAATACCTATGCAAAGTTCAATTATAAATAACATATTTAAATAAAAATAATAATAAAAATCTTTAATTAATATTGCAACAGAAAAAAAAACAATATTGCATTAAATGTGTGATTGCATTTTATATGTCTGATGAAGTAAATTACTTACTGTTACTTTTACACTATTATATATATCCTGACTCTTATACTGATAAATCAAATTTTAATATGAATTTAATTTGCATAGTTTTGACCGATTTTAATCATTTCAAATGTATTATCAGATAAAAACAGTTTTATCTGTTAGAAATAACGAGATCGTATATGAGAAAACAATGTCAATACGATAATGTTATCCCTAAATCAACATTAATTTCATTAAATACACGAATAATATATAGAATCGTCAAATATTGTGTATTTAATGTAGATAACGTACAAGGCCAGCTGTACAAATCTACTAAAATTAACTAAATGCTTCTACACACGGTAACTATTATTTATTTATTTATTTAATTAATTAATTAATTAAACTTTGTTGCTGTATGATTCTAAATAATTTCTATTTATTTAACTAATTATCAGCACTTGACAAAGCGTTCATTGCTATTTTTCTTTTTTTTTTTCTTCCCCCTCTAAAATTTCAAAGATACTCTTGTCTTTTTTTTTTTTTTTTTTTTTTTTTNAATACTTCTTTAAGTACTTACTAAAATAGGAACATCACAATAAAAAATGTGACTCTATCATTTTTTGAAAAATAATTTGTATAAAACAAAAGTCAATGTACGGTATCGCATGGTGAATATGAAACAAATATTTTTGCATGATTGACTAAAACGAATGTTGTTATTGCACCTATTAAAGAACCAATTTGTGTTGCAACACCGGTGTAGTATAAACCTCTACCCGGATCTGGTCTGAACAAAGTGGTGATACCCATTTTAATAAATCCTATTAAACCATTAACTAATATCCATGAAACTACAACTAATAGTTCACCCATCCATGTATGTTGTAAAGGAGGATTGGGTGATTTAACAGCTAAAAATAATACGAAACAAGAGAGAATGATAATCAATCCCATTAGTCCATTAAGAAGACTGATTTTAGGAGATTTTATAACGAAACCTAAACACATAGCTAATGGACCAGCCATAGAAGCTAACGTTACTGTTAAATGATAACCTACATTTCCGTAAGGTAAACAGGAATACGATTGAATACTAGGAAGAGTACCATGACCGAGAAAACAAACAAGTGCCATCATACTTAACAAATAATAATATGTATGTTTGGACATTGTCCAGCCTGCATTAGTTTTGTAACTCGGTGGTGCTTTGGTATCCGTTGGCAGTGTTTCCATACTCGATGGAAGTTTAACCCTTTCCCCTATAGCTACCATTAATTTATTTAATCCGAGAAAAGATAGAAAACTTAAGAATAATAATACGCCTATGAAAATGAAAAATATTTGCGTAGAGAACCTGGGTTCTGGATAAAAAGCTTCAAACTTTACTTCTGTAGATCCTTCTTTAGTAACATTTCTACATTCAGGATTACCACCGACACCTTGTACCAATGCAACGATACTGGGTATAAATCCACTAAGGCCTTCTCCAACTAGATAAGATACTAAATAAATTTCACGATAATTTCTCATGTAAGGCATGAATAGAACTGAACTTGTACATCCAACGATAGCTGTTACAAACATTAGAGATAATAGTGCAGTCGAATGCATAGTTCCCAATATTACCGACGTTTTACTGTAGACAAATGCTAATACGAATGTTGATATTACTGCTGCAATTAGCATTCCATATATGATTAGTTTATCGTATGCCCATGCAGTATATCTAAAACAGATGATAACATTCATTATAATGTAAGCTAATTTAAAAGAAATCATATCTTAGTACAATTCTTATATAATCTTTTTAATACTTACTTGATGTATAATGTGTATAAAATTGGTCCTAAATTAGCAAATTGCACTAGCATTACCATATATGCTGGTAAATTCCATCCTTCTGGTGCAGTGTTTACCAAAAGTGGTAATTGCACATAAATACCATTTATACCGATCCATGCACCAATACCAAATAATAAAACAAGAATATCAACCACTATTCTTCTGTTGCTTAATTTCTTCGTTAACATTTTGTAACCTAAAATTGATAAATAATTATCATTTCCTTTTAAAACGAATTAATTATCTTTTTTTCCTTATAGCAATTAACTACACACTTACTCACAAGTTCACTTTAATTCCGTACACGCAATTCTTCTGATTTCTTACAAAACAACGATCTCTTAAATATTTTATTATCTTCTTAACGATTAACGTATAAATTGTTTAATTAAATTATTTATATGTTTTTTATAAAATCGTATTATACACGTTTTAGGAAAAATATTGTTTAACGTGTTAGAATAATTAGGCCATTAAACGTGATGAATAAACTATAAGATATTATTTAACACTGATAAATATTTCAATTTTTAATAATACGTGTTACGAAATGTTCACTGTTTGATATAAATATAATAACTCGTCGAAGAAAGGTATATAAATTATTTTTTACGATGAGGAATTCAATAAAAATGCATCTAACCTTTTTTTCCGATCACTCGACGGTACAATGTTCGTAACGCGACTGTCGCTAGCGACGATGCGCGTGTATTTACTAGATCTGCGCATGCGTGAAAATTTACACGGTCTGCACATGCGCGACTATTTTCACGGTCTGCGCATGCGCGAATTTCTATCTATCTTTCTTCTCACTTCGTTGCGTTGCAATGGCGTGTTAAAAAAAGATATGGTGTTGGTTGTTTTTAAATTAATCGAAATAAATATATATATATATGTATTTATAATTACGTATATATATATATATATGCTTACTTACATCGGACGTATCTTAAATTGAATTTTTCAAGCGAAATTTCTCCTAATTTTATCGAAATCGATCTTTCAAGATTATCATGAAAATGGTAAAAAATATAAGTGAGCATTTTCATGAAATAAAAAACGAATGACGTATGCATCCTTCATTGATTTTTTTAAAATTCAAATTCGAATGTTTAGATAGATAGCATGGTGTGTTATTCGATGGAAAGACGAAATCTCACGTTCTTTAAATATTTAAATTTTAATTGAAAAAGAAATCAATAAAAATGAACGTATCGCATAAAAAATTAAATTGACCTGAGTTACATATTTTTCTATAATATCAATATAAATAAATAAAAAGTAGTCTCGTTATTTACGCGCATATATATATATATATATATATATATATATATATATAATATCACGCGTTTAAAATAATTTCTTTTTTTTTATTTAAAAAAAAACAACAACATATATGTGATTTAAAGGAGATTAAAGAACACGAATACAGTTGAATATAGCAAGAATTTTATAAAAGACGAGGCAGACTCACAGATGGTTTAAGTACATTAGTATATGTTCTCAAAACTGTTGAGAGAGTATTTTGTGTACGTGTGTATAATGTATGTGTAATATGTGTGTGTGTGTGTGCTGTTATGCACGGATAATTTGACAGCGCAACACACACGAAAAAAGGTAGCAAAGGTGTGCTATACATAGTGTGCTTAAAAGTACGAACATACATTTTATTATTTTTTTTTTAATTTTTTTTTTTTTTTTAATTGAAAGAAGTTCCGGCAACGATAGGCTGTAAAGAAATAATAGAGAATAATATAAACAGTGATGTTATTAGAAGCTTCCTCGTAACTGCGTTGAAATATCGTCGTTGTTCGTTCATTTTTATTTTTATTATTATTATTATTTTTTTTTTTTAAGAAGTTACACGTTCTTATAAATATTAATGATCATTTTGAAAGTTCGTAGTCGAGACATGATAATTTTTCATATTTTTAACCAATTAACAACACCACGTGTTGTGCAAGACCTTGTTTATCTCTTGTTCCATTAATTTTATGCAAGATTGATAGTTGAAAATTCTGTAACACATTTATTCTTTTCATTGAAATTTACTTATCGTTCTCATTTGTATTTTATCAATGTGAAATATTCATGGATAATGTTTTTTTTACAGAACACGTTTTTTTTTATTTTTTTTTTTTTTCATATACAGTCAAATAATTTGCAAAACGAACGACACAACGCTATAGATCTCTCACGCAGAAAAACGACGGTGTACAACGTTTTACAATGATTTATTCTCGTAGATATCTTTTTTTTTTCTTTTTGCTTTTCTTCCTTTTGGAAATTCCTGAGAATTTATTTTGAAAAAATGGGGGCCAAATATATATATTAGATTTTTTTTTTCTCGTACAAAGAAAAAAGATGCATCAGAAATTGTGAGTATAAGTAAATACCGAACGACGAAGCTGTTTTTTTTTTCTTTTTATTCTTTTTTTTTTTTGTATTTTTGTATTTTTTTCTTTTTTTTTTTTTTCTTAATATATCTCTTTTAGGTATTTTTTGTAGGAAAAATTTAGGATATCCCCCTCCCATATTATTTTGTTGAGTTTTCTTCTTTTTTTTTAGTTGCAGATTGTTTTGTTTCTTTTTTCTTTTTTTTTTTTTAACGCGAATACTTCATATCAGTCATATTTAAAATTGTCGAAAAAAATTTAATTTTCTCATGTATTCGCAATTGTTCGTATTATCATTCGAGGAGTCTTCTCTCATTGATCAAATATATATTTTCCAAAATTTATGATATGATCATTCAAATAAAACATTAATTTCTATTCTCGATGAAACAGTTAAGTTAAATCTTTGCTTATATCACACTTGGTCCAAAGAATCCCAACTCAGACATTTTTTGCAACTTGAGTCATTTTTTCTCAAATTGTTTAACTTTGATAATTTTTTAAAATATATTTCAATTTAATTTAACACTATAAAACCTATATAGTCTTTTGAAGTAAGTATTAAAGATGTCTCAACAAAAATGTCGAAGTAAATCTATGCAATAGTTTTTTTTTTCTAACAATTTTTCTCGTCCGGGTTTTTCGGACTCAGGTGTGGTAAGCGTGTTATTACTCCAGGAAGGATGATAAGCAAATGTTAATACACAGGGCTTTATCTTTTTATGTAAACCTATAGATATTTTTTATGATAAAAATTGAAGTCCCACTGTTAAAGAAATAAAATAGAAAAAAAAAAAAAAAATAAACTCCTCGTTACAAATACGAATATATTATTAGATGATTCGTAAAGTCGTTTCATTCTTTACTGACACAATAATAAATGCATTAGTTGATACAAATTGACAAATAGTAACACATGAAATCGATGATAGGTTCAATTTATCAAATTCAATAATTATTTATGACCACTTGAAAGGTTGCTTTAGGTTTAACCTCGAAGCACAAATTATTATCTTTATTTTTACAAAAGAAAACAAAATGAAACGAAACGAAACGAAACGAAACTTTCGACTTTCCGAACCATTTAATATTTAAACGAAGCATCGCAATATTATTTTTCATTTCTCTTTCACTGTCTTATTTGAATTTTTAATTCATTTAACAATTCTATTACATCAAAACTTATTTTTGTTGTTGTTGTTTTTCTCTCTCTCTCTCTCTCTTTTTCTTTCTGTCTCTGTCTGTCTCTCTTTCTTAATCTCCCTTTTCTAATTTCTGTAATAAACGTATATACAAAGTGTACACGCTCCGATAATTCAGAGAAGGATGCGTTTGGTACAATATATACATATATATATATATATTTATATATATATGTATATGTTATATCCTAACCGAGATCTGTAACGATTACAATTGGATTTTGGACCATGTTTGAAAGTACCGATACAGAGAACATCGAAAAAGTAGAATTTGTATTTTTTTATTTTTGGACGAAATCGAACTTTTATTGTCAACGATCCGTTTCGCTCGTGGTGATAAACACAAAATTGATAAATAATATAAAATTATATTTTTATTAATTAAACAATATATCTGGTCGCTCTCAAAAATTAATTATTTGTGGAAGAAGAAGAAGAAGAAGAAGAAGAAAAAAAATACAAAAATAACCCTTTCGTTACTAACAACTCCTATCAGTGGATTGTATCAAGTTTAATACACTGTATCAAAGCTTTTCATCTTACCACTTTAATGGCTACACTTGTACATAATCAAATGTTACCAGAGACTAGTAATATTTTTAAAGTATTAATTTAAACAATGTTCAGAGTGTTTCACAAATGTGTGAGCGAATGCTAATGGTTGGTATATTGTGTGTGCAGCCACTAAAGTGTTAACGAAAGGGTTCAGAATGATTCAAAAAAATCAATAAAAAATAATAACAAATATATATATCATAAAACTTGAAAAGATGATAAGCTCGATGGGAATATTTGTTTAAAAAATAGTATTACATGGGAATAGTAGTATCAGGTGGTTCAGTAGGGTGGCGGGGTGGGGGGGTGGGGGGTTACTATGATAGTTCTTATCCGTGACGGTACGTTCAAACGATTTTGGCGAGGTGAGTGTTACATTTTTATGGATACGTTTTTTTTTAAATCTTTTTTTTTTTGTTTTTTTATTCATGGATTGATAAATGTAAAGAGCTTGAATGCCCCCGATGACGACGACGACGACGACGACAAATAGGGCAACATACACACACACATGAGTGCGCGTATGTGTCGCATGAATTTACGACGATTTAAATCTGGCCCAGGAATAGTGATGTATGTTGTTTGTTTTTTTTTTTACCTTTTCTCTCTTTTTTCTTTTTTTTTCTAGGACAACATAGACAACATATGTATGTATGTATGTATGTATGTATGTATATGTGTAAAACAGTTTTGTTTGGTGAAATGTGACGCGTATCATCGATCGCATGTTACTTCTGTACCTAAGTTAAGAAGATTGTTTGTTTATATTCATATATATTCATTTTGTTTGACAATACAACATAATTTACACATTACACAAATTTAGGTATATACAAGTAACACGTCATTCGCACACGTGTGTGTGTGTGTGTGTGGATATATGTTTGAGCGAGTTAATGAGTGAGATGGTTGTTTTTTTTTCTTTTTTTTTTTTAGCGTACGTTTTGATTGTTCCGTATTTATCAGAGACTTTATCAAAGAAACGTGTGCTTTTTTATTTATTTATTTATTTATTTTAATTGATCTATCATTTTGTTGTTTTATTCTTCTATCATTATTATATTTATTTATATTATTATTATTATTATTATTATAATTATTATTTTTGTTAACAATATCAAACTAAACGTGATAAGAAGAAAGATGAAAGATATTGTTAACACGACGACGACGACGACGACGACGACGACGATGCTATTTGAAAAATGTTTATCTCTTTTTTTTTTTTATGTATTTTTTTTTTTATTATTTTTTTAAACATTCTTGCGCGAATTATATTGAAAAGATTTTTTTTTTTGGAAAAGTCTTCTTTTTTTTTTTTCTTTATTTATTTTTTTTCTTTTTTTTTTAATAGGATCCGAAAGAAGAAAATCTATGAAGGAAATTTAGTTTGAAGTTAGAAAGAAGAAGAAGAAGAATAAGAAGAAGAAGAAGAAGAATGTGTCGTCGGAAGATACAATGTTAGGAATTAGATGAATAAGAAGAAGAAGAAGAAGACGAAGAATTGAGAATTTCTTATTTGCCTCTTTGTCGAAGAATAATAAATACAATAACAAGATTATTATTGTTAAAAATACACTCAAAATTGAATCATTAAATAGCCATTTGTTTAATCTGTAATTTTGATAATAATAGAAGCTACCCCTCACCCTCTCATTTAGTTTTTTGATTGAGCTAAACGACACAAAGCTAGCACAAACTTTTACGCATTTTTTTTTCTTTTTTTTTTCAATACAACCAATCATCATCATCATCATCATCATCATTATTCATGCAAACTAACTTTAGAATCATTCATCTCAAAGATAAGATGATATTTTTGTTTAATCAGTGACACGCTAAACGCACTTTACGTTTCGATTCAAATCAGAGACAAGTAAAATCACATATATGTGTTTGTGTGTGTGTGTGTTGGTGGTGGTGGTGGTGGTGGTGGTGTATATGGGGGATGTGCATGTGCATGCATTTATCACGAGCATCGGTTTTCTGTTTGAATCAAATTCACATTTGGTAAGATTTGTTTGAAATATTTGGAAACATTTGAAGAATATATTTGTATGGGGGAAGGGGTGACTGAGGGATTAGGGAGAGAGGGTCAACGAGGGGTTGTTTTTGTTGTTGAGGCGACACAGAGCAAAATTAGGGTAACGAACAACATGCGACACGAGGATAGCGTTTTTTTTGTTTTTTCATTTCTTTTCTTTTTTTTTTTTTTTCTTTAATAATAATAATAATAATCTTGTTGAAATGATGTTTCCTCTTTCCTTCCTTCCTTCCTTCCTTTCTTCCTTTCTTCCTTCTTTCTTTTCTTTCTCTTTTTTTTTTTTTTATTTATTTTTTTTGTTATGAGAAAATTACTGAGAACTTTTCGAAAAATAATGTTTTCTCGATATTATTACTTGTTTTTTTTTTTTTGTTTTCTTCTTTTTCTATTTTTTCTTTCTATCTTGTATTGTTTGTTGTTTTTTCTTCATCTTGAATAATTTTTATCTTTGATATTGTGTTAAGATATGATGATAATAATTTGCAAGATCGATCATCTTATTCTGAATTCGCGTCTAATAATATCATTGCAAATTGTTCCATAATTTTTTTTTTAACTTGGCGTACGTTTCGTTTTTTTTTTTTATTATCCTTCTCGTATTTTGTTTTTGTTTTTGTTTTTGTTTTTACCCTGATCGAAAGTTCCCACAAACTTTCAATAATATTTTTATTAAATTTTATTATTTTCTTACGATCGATCCAACCGTCGTTCGCGTCTGGCCAAATTTTTGTTGATTAAATCTTTCCCTCTTTTTTCTTCTCATTTGTTTCTTTTTTTTTTTTTCTTTTTTTAAATTCATTCCAAACGTATACACGACGGTATATTATAATATTTATATAAGTACAACGTATATGTGTGTATGTTGTATGCGTAAGTATTCTAATGTTTCTCATTATATATATCTTTATATATATATATATGATTCTTCTGTGCGTGTGTATGTCACTGAACTCCTCTTAAATGGCTGGACCGATTTTAATGAAATTTTTTGTGTGTCTTAAGGTGGATTCGATAATAGTTTAGCGTTACAATTCGATCCAATTTAAATTGTTTATTTAATTAATTTTTCATTTATAAATTGTTATGCAAAAAGTTTATAAGTTGAAGTTAGTCGATATTCGATATTCGATATGACGTTAGATATTGTAATAACTTTTTAATACAAATTTTCATCAAAACGGTCCAAATTGTTACAGCTTATTCCAAAAAGTTTGAAATTTTTGAATTAAAGACGTGTGTATCGGACTGATTGTGAGCCACAGCAACGTGTGGCGGGGCACTCCTAGTATATATATATATATATAATATTTATTTCGACGTTTGTGTATATGTGTATGTGTGTGTTTTATTTTCTTTTTTTTTTTTTTTAGATTTTTTTTTCTTAATTTTCTCTCTTATACGTTGTCCTCGCACACAGCGGCAAAGTACATACATACACAATAGGTGAAAAAAGTCTTTAGAGGAAAATAGGTTTACTTTTTATTTTGTTTCTTCTTCTTCAGTAAATTGACAAGTAGATAGATTTGTTTTATTTTGTGTATAATGTAGCGTGTAAAAACGCGCGGGGGAGATACACCATTTTGTTTTTGTTTTGTTCTTTCTTTTTTCTTTCCTTTTTATTATTCTCCATTTAAATTCTACTCTACGTGTGGTTGTTTCACGTTTTAAATAAATTTCTTTTTTTTTTTTTTTTAACTCCACGTATACAATTCGATAACGTTCTATCATCAATCTCATTTAAAATCATAAACTATTTATTTTCTTTTTTTTTCATTTCTTTTCCATGTACATATATTCTCGAACTTTATTTCAAGATCCCGTCACGAGTTCATTTGCGATTATTTCAAAGAGGATCCCCACGTCTAGCGGCCATTTTTGCAGCCCTGGTAGCTAAAGCACCTAAAGAACATACCAATCCAGTTAGGGTTTCCCATAAAGTGGTTCTACGACGTTTATGAGCCGTTTGTCCAACGTAACCCAAATAATAAGCCTGGTATATGTCAGTGCCACGATCGGATGCGCTATCGGAACGACCAATGCTCGATCTTTTTGGTTGTTGAACGATACTGCGTCGTTGTTCTTCGGAACGATCGATGCTATGTTTCGGTGATGATTCGCTGTTACTTCGAAATTGTGATTGGTGTTCGTAAGATTCGTAAAGATGTTGTTGCAATTGGACGTTACTCAAACGACGGTCCATCAATCTTACGAGATTTTGATGAACCCTACGATCGTTTTCTTGAATTACAGGCAATTGACGTCTACAACTACCACTTTCCGATTCGTTAACAAGATCCACTTGTCAAGCGTATTCAGTATCGGTTGATGCTGATCTTTCAAAATGCGCCGGGTGACTGCTAGGATGCCGTTGTTGACCCTGTTGCTGTTGTTGTTGATGTTGTTGCTGTTGCTGTTGTTGCTGTTGCTTTTGTTGTTGCTGTTGTTGAGCTTGCGCAAATGCAAGACTCTTTTGATAGCTGAACAATTGTCTCTCTAATGTATAATTTTCAGCTTGAAGTGATGCTATTTCACGTCTCATTTGTTGATTGTGAATACGACATACGTCGTCGTATTTGTGATAAGTCGCTTGGAATAGCAAATGACTCTCGTTCCATTCCAATCTGATCCTCAATTGTTTCTTGTCGGTAAGGAATGGACAGTGATTGTCCTTGATCTCGTTTGTCTCTAAATTCGTTTCCATTATGATACCCTCATCTGCGGATTCTTGAGCGTAATAACGGCTGAAGGGTGCACCGGGTAGACAAATTGCAACCGTGTCTGGTTCATCGCCTCTTAATAAATATGCTGACCAATTGACGTATCTGGAACACAAAATATAGGATAACATTTGTTTGTCAGTTGTCAATAAAAAAAAAAAAAAAAATAATATAAAAATATTGATTTACCTCAAATGATTTCGTGGTACGTGATTGATGTCTTTATAAACCAAATGTAGTCTGACCGTTTCCGAATGAAGATCGGCTCTAACAACCCATGCTTGTTTGTCACGATCGTAACAAGGTGTAGGTGACAAAACAGACGGACCAAGAGCTTGAACAGCAACCTCGCAGATCGTTCTTGCCTCAACCATTTCAAGGCAAACTCTAAGAACACCTTTATGTGCAACATCCGACCATTTGTAACGTGGATGCCATCCAAATCCGTAACCTTCTGCATCGGAGAGATCTTCTATTTGGCCAGAGTCAACTCTACGTTCACCTTCGCCCAATGCCACGCTGTATTTCACTCTGCATCGATGATCGAATCCCGTGAGTCTCATCAAATAGACACTTACGTGATCCTGGCCCCGGCAACCCTCAGCTTCTTTATTCCCATAAGGATAGATAACGATACTCCAGTCAAAACCACCGAAGGTAAAGCAATCGGTCTCAAGTTTATTTGACTTTGCTTGACCAGTCGAGAAAACCCCAGTTGGCATTCTAAGTTCTGTCATGTATACCGTACGAACATTAGCCATTGACAACTCCAACTGAAATTCGCCATTGGTATCCGCAAAGTTACGAGAATAGAGATCGGATACTGGGATGTAGTTTCGATTGCCTTGGGCTGGCAATTCGTAAGTGAATTTTACTCGTTTCCCAGAAAAACCTTCGTTCATCGAGAAATGTTCTCGATTTAACAATGTGAACGTGAAATCGACGTAAACTCGAAGATTCCGCGATGCACCCCGCCATACCAGGTATACACCTAATACCTGAGAATACATTAGAACAATTTAGAAATTCATTTGAACAAATATAATATATATATATCTCGTGAATTGTGTATTTTATGATCAGTGAAAATGTGGTGTAACTCGTTGTGGTATAATAACGTTTAGAAATGTTACGATGCATCGTAAGCTTGATATTATTACGTAAACACACACATACACACAGACAAGTAAATTGTCCTGGAACAATTAGCACGAAGGATTAAAATCATCTCTTAGAATAATAAGAGTCATCATTTATTCTAGTTGTGTATACGTAATAAGAAATATATATTGCCATATTTTAGTAGTAAAAGGTGATAAAAGTGGAATTCATTTGCAAGTATCATAAGATATTATTTTGCGAGATTAATTACGTATTTACGTATTAACGCCATGGCACCGCAGCAAAAATTTTGCTAATGCGCCAATAAAGAGCAATCTTGTTGTTCGCACACAACAACCTTGTTGTTTGCACATAGCAACCGTCAGGATTTCGTCAGGGTTTCGTCAGGGTCTCGTTAGGGTTTCGTTAGGGTTTCGTCAGAGTCTTGACATGGTTTTGTCAGGTTTTCGTCAGCGTTGCGTCAGGATTGCATCAGGGTTTGGTTAGGGCTGCTTTAGGGTTGCGTCAGGGTTTCGTCATTTTTTATTGCTACGAAAACTCGTATTCCGGATTTGCCAAAAACAGAACAAGATATGTCGGCCCATTTTTCACCGAAATCTAAATTGACCACTTTTTATAAATAAAATGTTTGGAGTTTTGAAAGTGTTTTGATTTTAAATATCATTTTTTATTTTATTATTTTTCGCAATAATTAAAGGTTTATTTCTGCGCGTTAGCGGAATTTTGCTGCGTTGGCGTTAATACGTAAGTACTTAAAGGATGGTACAATTTAAACGAAATGTTATGAAATCTTATGAAATCATATCGATTTTGAACACGTATCAGTGTTTGATAATACAACCAAAATAATTTTGGATAATGTGAGTGTGTTAAGAATAATGAAAAATATAGTCAATTACACTTACCTTGTCTCCACGTGAAAATGCTACAGCCCATCTTTGAAAACCACAAACTAATTCCTTGCTAGTGACATCCCTTTCTGGATCGCGTACGACACTTCGGGTTACGACGAATGAAAATACCCGCGTGCCGCTGCGATCTGGCAGTTGCACGAATCTGTAAAGTAAAGCCATCACCGCATCTCGATGATTTCAATTCGTGTGACCTCCTTCAAGCTTATCTCAGAAATTAATATAAATATCTTCTTTTGTGTTCTTTTTCTTCTTCTTTCCTGAAACATAAAAAGAAAAACTGAGATGTAACATTTGTTCCAAAAATTTGTAATCATCGTGAAAGAATTATTATTATTATTATTATTATTATTAAAACATTATAATGTTTATTAATTAAATATTATAAATAATTATGTGCATATTATTTATAATTTAATTTTTAACTATTTTTGCAACTATCAACCTCCATAAATGTGTCATTCAAAGTAACGTAAATAAAATTTAGGATTATTTTAGGTGTATAAGTTTGTTTCCGCTATTCTCCTACAGATGGCTTATAGAAAAAATGGCGGAAGCAAAATTGCATACCTATTATATGTATATTCATATTTTTTTGTTAATAATAAAAAAATGGAATTTCTTTCTTTTTCCTTTGATTAATGTAACGAATAAAATTATGTAGTAGAATGTAATAAAAAGTGAAGTGTAATAAAAATTGTTAAATGTTATACCAAGATTCGAAAGCTTTTGTACAAAAAATGGATACACTTTTTAGAAAGAAAAATGAGTAGTGGAAAGAAAGGAAGGAAGGAAGGAAGAGTAAATTATATAGGATGACCTTTTTGAAAGTATCATTCATTTGAAAGCACGAAAAGTCGTGAGAAACTTCAATTATATATATCTATAAGGACTATTTTACAAGCTGAAATTCTCTTTTTCTACGTACTCCACCTCCACCTCCACCCCTCCTCTTTTACTGGGTGGTGCTTTCACTCGTCCGAGATTTAATCGGATTTCATTTTGAAAAGTATTCCCAACGTAACGTGAATCGCCTTTGTGGTATTAATTGCTACCTATTGCAAAGGATTATTTTTAGTTCGAATCATAAAAGTGATAGGATAGGTACTTGCTTGTATAGAATTTCTTTTTCTTTTTTTTTTTTTCTTTTCAGATTTTACTTTTTTTTATTTCTATTTTTTTTTTGTCAATTTGCGAAATATTCGCGCCACATAAGATTTTCGATTGAATTGAAATTAGCGCTTTACGTCAAATTTTGTGTTTTTTTTTTATTTTTCTTTGACACATCGGTCGGTTGAATTAAAAAATTACAGTAATTTTGAAAAAATGTAAATAATTTAGCCAAAAAAAAAAAAAAACAAAACAAAAAAAAGTAAAGAATTTATTGTAAATAGAATTTTAAATATTCAAATTCATCAGTAGAAATATCGAAAATAATTTTTATTTGTTTTGTTGGTTTTGGTGATTTATTTTGTATTTGTATACTCTTTTTAAGGTTTGATAATAACAAAAAAAATATAGGTTAGTATTTCGTTAACAATTAATAAAAAAAAAATATATATATATATATATATATTTATATAATTCTCTTATTAATATAAGAAACAAATGTGTGTTGTTTTGTAATCGACGTTTAGAAAAAAAAAAATGTCGCAAGCAATTAGAATGCAGAAACGTAAGAAGGACGATAAACCGGAAATATTTCGGGAGAAAATACTTTACAGAGAATGGGCACGTCGTTTTACAACCATAGAAAAAAATCTCGAAGCTGTGACATATTATGAAAAAGCTATGAAAGTTGCTGACGAGGATGACGTTAGGGCACTTTTAGGTCTTTGCAGAGCACAGTTTAATTTTACTAAGTACATCGATGCTGCTAAAATTGCGGAAAAATGCATGCAATTAGGTATGAAATTTTATATATATATATATATAAAAATAAAATGATTGATTTAATGAAGAAAAAAAAAAAAATAAAAATATTTCCAAAAAGATCCAAACAATTATCACGTAAAGGAAATGAGAGTCGATACGTTATATCGAATGGGAGAATTTTGCTATAGTTTGGTCCATGCTTACAATGGTTTCCGGCAACGTAGAATGCCCTTCGAATTGAGCATTTATCGGGCCAATGAAACAATAGAAACTTGTGTTGGTAAGAACACTGTACCGGATGCTTTAAAACGTCTTTTACCTTGGATCCAAAAGTTGCAAGAATATCGTAAAGTATTGATCGAAAAGCTCAAATTGGAACCAGACGAGTTCGAAGGTGAGAGAAAATAAATAAAAAGAAAAAAAATAAGGGATACTTCGATCCATATTTTCTATTCAAATATTCGATATCTTATTTCTCAAGTGACGATTGAATTCATTTACTTGTTCTTATTACTTTTTTTTTTTTTTTTTCTATTTTTCTTGATACGAAATTGACTGATAAAGTTGCATAATAATCGTTCAATGCAACGAATTGATTAAACTTGTATATATATATATATATAGGTTGAGGTAATATTTATTTGTTTTTTTTTTTTTTACTACAAATATTCATGTAAATTGGATATGAAAGTTTATAGTAATTTTTAATTCAAAAATTATACTCCATTTCACGTTTTCATTTATAAATATATATATTTTATTATATTATATTATATAACCTAACTTAACTTTAGGTTATATTCTAACCTTAAAAAAGAAACCAACTTAAGAATATTAATAATTTATTCCCAAACAAATATATATGTTTATATTAATTAAATATTAATTAATTTAATAAATTATTGACAATTCATAATATTAATCCTTTCGTTACTATTTTTATCAACCTATATATATATATATATAGGATGGTCATATTTTACGAACAAATTTTTTAATGAACGATACTCGTATCTTAAAGTATGCAATAACGAAAGGGTTAAATGTCAAAAAAAAAATCAAAATAAAAAGAAGAAGAAGAAGAAGAGTTAGATGGAGGTTTAAGTAATTGATTTATCGATGACAATTAGGTATCGACGAGGATCAATCAAAGTTCAAGGTGAATGATCTGGCTGTTCAAGAAGAAGCGCACAAGGCAAAGTTACAAAGTATCATTGCCAAGATTTATTTAGGTTCAATAGCCGATGAGAAACAATTTCGTGAAAAATTGGTCAAAGATAAACAGCTTTTACAAGGACCAAATAAAGAATCTACTAAGCTTTTGCAATATCATGCACAAAGAAGTTTGAGAAAGACGAACTTTCGTCAGAGTATCATTCGTACCTCTTTTCCAATTTACGTAATGATGTTTGCTAGAGAGAAACGTACGATTGGTCATCAAGTTATGATTGAACATGAAAGAAAATTGAAAAGATACAATCTTATATTACTTGCTGATCATTTATTACGATGTTTGAATGAGGCTAGAATGGATAAAGATTATCCAAGATTTTTCAGGTATTTTAATTTTTGTGATATTTATGTATTATTAACGCCATGACACCGCAGCAACAATTTTCGCTAATGCGCCAATAAAGTGCAATCTTGTTGTTCGCATAAAACAATCACGTTGTTTGTACATAGCAACCGTTAGGGTTTCGTCAGGATTTCGTCAGGGCTTTGTCAGGGTTGCGTCAGGGTTGAAAGATACGTCAAATATTGAAATAATAATAATCATGTATAAAATTATCATTGTAAACTAGTGTTGCATTTTATCGATCTATTATTATTCATACGTAGAAGCAAACACACTCTCGTGCTTAGAGGTAGTACATTTGACAATCAATATTATATTTGTTCAGTCTTGCCATTTCCCACGACGCATGTGACACGATACAATAAAGATGCAACAACGGTAATGTCAGAGGTGACGTTTAATTGATAACGAAATATCATATCTTTAGATAGATTGTTTTCAAAACAATTCAAACAAATGTTCAATGAACTCAACTTATATTTTCTCATATGACACTAAATTGATTCTACATATTATAATAATAATAATAATAATAATAATAATAAATTTAATAATATCTACAAATATATATTTTTTATATTTGTAAACGATAAATAACCTAACCCATATTTAACTTTAGATACGTAAATCGTACAAAGGACTTATTTGATTCGTACTCTATCAAGATGTTTCCATTAAAGAAAAAATGTTTAAACACTCTTTACAAAATGATCGCGTGGGTTTACATAGATACGAGAAATGTAATGCAATACGATGATGAAGAAACAAAGATGAGATATTTGAAGCATCATTTATTATTACGATTGACACGATTACCAAGAGACAGGGAATTAGCGTGGGTGAAAATAACAACTCGTAAAAATGAATTACAAACGTTTCGTCGTAGATTGGCATTGGCATCGGAACCATTGGAATTAGCATGGCTGTTTCACGATTTTTCCAAATTTCTCATACAGTTGGGTCGTTACGATCTTGCTAGATATTATGCTAAAAAGTCACGTGACTCGGCTATTGAAGCTAAATGCGAACAATGGGTACTAAATGCCAACCACATGACTATGCTAGTCGAGCTCTCTCAAAACAATCGTAACGAGGCTAAAGAGGATGCAGTTGCTGCAATAGCCATTTCTAAAAAGCTTGGAATCGATTTTCTGGTACATTTCATATTTAACATTTATCTTTAATACATAAAAGACAAAAAAAAAACATTTCATATTTTTTCTTACATTTAACGTTGTCTAAAGTATTATCAGTTTCATTTGATTTTTGTTTTTTGTTTTTAATTCAACAGGTAGATTTTTACACGAGAATTTCGAACATACTCGATGAGTTGGATTTCGACAGGTTGATAGCAACAACAGACGGTATTGCATTTAGACAACAGCTTATACTCGAACTTATGCCAGAAGAGATGAAAACCCAAGTGGATTTTCTTTTTCGCAGTATGGATGTAGTACCAGCAAAACGTAGACTATCCGTAATGCCTGGTTGTAAACCAGTCGACCGTAAGTTCAAGATGTCCTGCAAACGGAATACGATATTACCAAGTCCACCGAAGGATCCTGAAAAGGAAGCTAGACAAGCTTTGCTAGCACAATATGCACCGTCAAAAGAAAGACCTGGTTTTTTAGATTTTCAAGATTACGAGTGAATGTCAACATATGACATATGATATAACAATCTGATAAATAATGACAATTGGATTATTCATATTTTCATAGAATTATCAAATCGTTGTCTTTTATTTGTCTTATATTTATGATTCACAATCCTTTCACGATTTCTCAAATATTCAAAATTCTGTATACAGTTACAGTTATCATTGTTTTAGTTAATTGCAATCATACACCTCTACTTGGATTAAATAATAATATTAGTATATTTGTTTTAACATTTATTTATATTGTTTTAATATAATTATTATTTGTTAATTAGTATGTAAATAAAATGTAATTAATTGCAAAGGACTTTGTGTGGACAATGTTTTAATTTAACATTTTATTTTTGTACTTTTTAAAGATATATATTTATTTATAATATAATATAATAATAAATATATATATAATTATATTTATATAGTATAATAATATTATATAATACTAGTATAGTATTATACTAGTATTATAGTAGTATATAATACTATACTAGTATAGTATTTTATATTTACTATACTATATATATAATATTATATAATATTAGTATTATAATATTAATTTTTATATAGTACTAGTATACTACTAATTACTACTAGTTAGTATTAATACTAGTATAGTATTATATATTATTATATAATATTAGTATTATAATATTAGTTTTTATTTAGTACTAGTATAGTATTATATAATATTAGTATTTCAATATTAGTTTTTATTTAGTACTAGTATAATATTATATAATATTATATATATAAGATTAGTATTATAATATTAGTATATACTAATATATATAATATAATATTATATAATACTAGTATAGTATTAATACTATATTTAGTAATTAATACTAGTTAGTATTAATACTAGTATAGTATTATATAATATTATATAATACTAGTATTATAATATTAGTATATACTATATACTATTATATAATACTATATAATACAATATATAACGTATATTATATAATATAATATAATAAAAAAATGTTAATTTAATTTTATAAAATTAAACATCTTGAAGTCAAATATTTTCCATAATTTGTTTCAATAAAAATATGATTCTATTAAAATTCATCATCTTACATGAATTTTATTTTAAGATTTTCAATTTGAAATTTTTCGATTGATCGATGACAAAAACAATAGAGTTAACACAACGTTTGATATTTATCTAAGAAGAAAATGTTTTTTTAGGTTATGTCTAACGTTTATAACTTGTTAGGCTTGCGCTTCACTTCCACTAACTTATTTTCAAGCATGAGAAAGTTTCTCATTCTTTTTCAAATATGATAATGTAAATCTAAAATGACGTCGACGTTGATAAGTACTAGCTCGAAAACGAGATCCGTAACTATACTGACTGACGATGATATTAAAGATGAATTTGGTAATATTGAAGAAACGAAAAAGGCTGTCGAACGTGCGATAAATCGTGCACGTAAAAATACACAAAGTACCAACAATAATAATAATAATAATAATAATAATACGACAAGTAATTTGATTGGAAAAGATCGACGTTTTGCTCAAGCATTGCATCAAGAAGCTGATCAATTATATCAAAAGTACAATCTTACGTTCATTTTGAATCACCATTTTGTTTTTTATTTTATTTTTCATAAACAGTTGTTCAAATAAATTAAATAAAATAATGATTTGATTTTATTTCATACAAAATATTTGTCATAGTTGGCATCAAATTTCATAGTATCAAACTTTAAACACCCTGTATAACTAGACCCGCGTAATTCAAATAACTTAATTAAATTAATACCCGAAATAATGAGATAACAAATAAATATTAGAATTGTTGTAAAGTCATGCGAATGAAATGTTAACAATATTGTTAAACGTTTAACAAATTTACCAATAACAGTTGTTAACAATAATATTAATATTAAGTTAAATCTAAAGTCATGAGATTAATTGGTTGATTGCTAAAATAACAAACATAATAATACTATATATATATATATAATTATAATTGAGTATAATGAAATGTTTAATTACAATAATTCTAGAGGGGATTACGAGACAGCATTGGTTTTGTATCACAGAGCTGCAAACATTTGTCCTAGGGATATTAATCATAATGCGGCAGTTAGACGTACGGCAACTATGATTAACACATGGCAAAATTCATCGAAACGTTTAAGAAAGTTCATGTCGAAAACGAATCCTGATTCGGAACTGACGATAGCACTTTGCCCTGAAGCGGCAGCCATTAAAGCATCTAATGTTCTCAAACAGTCTCCAGATTTCAACACTGTTAACAAAGTTCTTAAGTAATTTCTAACACGTTTCACATTACCATATATATATATATATATATATA